TTAAGAATTAATTATGTGAATTAGAAATTTTGAATGTAAATATAAATTCAAAATTTTATGAGATTGAATTAGAAATTATATGGGTATTTAGTTGTACCTTATTTTAACTTTTTGATAATTTTATATAATGAATTTTATAAATTGAGAAATATAAGTAATATGAATTTATTATTAAATTAAAGAATTATTTATATGAATTTTAAATTAATTGATTATTGAATTGCATAATTTTATTGAATTTAACCACAATTATTTAATTGTGACAGAAAATGGAGAGATTCTTTAAACCTAAACGAGTCCGTAGTGGTGAATCTTCAAATGAGCCTAATATTAGTGAACCAGTTCAAAATCAATCTTGTGTGGAATTGAATTTAAATGATATTGTTAGTGATCCGGGATTACGAAAATCAGTTGAGAAATTTGATATTTCTCTTCGAGACCATGTCCGAAGAGAGTATTTGACTAGGGGACCTTGCCAACCGATTGGCCATATGTATCCAAAAACATCATTTGGTCAACAACATAGAAGTTTCCAAGATATTTGGTATCAAAAGTTTGTATGGTTAGAGTATAGCATATCGAAAGATGCGGCGTTTTGCTTTTGGTGCTTTCTTTTCAAAACACAAAATAAGGGAGGTCGATATGCAGAGGATGCCTTTACAAAAACGGGATTCAATAATTGGAAAAAGGCAATGGAAAGATTTAATGAACATATTGGAGCTGTGAATAGTTGCCATAATGATGCTAGAATACAGTTTGAAAGTTTTCAAGATCAAAGGCATAGTGTGTCAAATGTGCTACGATCTTGTGGGCGCGAAATAGATATTGCATATCGCACCCGTTTAACTGCTGCTCTGGATGTGACCCGCTTTCTTTTGAAGCAAGGATTGGCTTTTCGTGGAAATGATGAGTCAACTAGTTCTTCAAATAGAGGCAATTTTCTTGAATTGTTTGATTGGTATAGCCAGCGAAATACTGAGATTTTTGAGGTTGTAAATCAAAATGCTCCTGCAAATAATCAACTAACTTCTCCAATGATTCAAAAAGATCTGGCACATGCTTGTGCCTCAGAGATCACAAGTGTTATAATCAATGATATTGGAGACAATTATTTTTCCCTAATAGTTGATGAGTCTCGAGACAGTTCAGTGAAAGAGCAAATGGGAGTTGTTTTGAGATATGTGAACAAAGAAGGGCGTGTGATTGAACGTTTCCTTGCAATTGTACATGTGTCTGACACCACATCTCTTTGTTTGAAAGATGCAATTGATTCTTTATTCGCGCAACACGGATTATCATTATCCAAATTGAGAGGTCAAGGATATGATGGAGCTTCAAATATGCGAGGTGAGTTCAATGGTTTGAAGGCCCTTATATTACAAGAAAATCCCTATGCGATGTATATTCACTGTTTTGCTCACCAACTCCAGTTAGTTATTGTTGCTGTTGCTAAGGGAAATATCATTATCAGTGAATTCTTTGTCTATGTCTCTATGATTGTCAATTTAACTGGAGTATCATGTAAAAGGAGAGATCAATTAAGACAAATAGAACATGATAAGATTGTTGCACTTTTAGACAGTGGAGATATTATTAGTGGAAAAGGCAAAAATCAAGAAACTAGTTTAGCAAGACCAGGGGATACTCGTTGGGGATCACACTATCTAACATTACTTCGTCTATCCTCTATGTGGGCTTCGGTGATTGGAATATTGGGAAATATACAAGATGATGCCTCCACTTCTGACAATAGAGGTATGGCCAGGGGTTTGATTGATAGAATGAATGATTATGAGTTTGTTTTTGCATTGCACCTGATGAAGTATTTATTGGGAATCACAAATGACTTGTCACTTGTTTTGCAACAAAGGGATCAAAATATTGTCCAAGCCATGAGTTTGATTGATACTATGAAATCTCAATTGCAAGACTTTAGGGAAGAGGGATGGCAAATAATTTTAGATGAAGTCAACAATTTTTGTGAGTTGAATATGATTCCCGTGATTGATATGGAAGACAGTATAGCAATCCGTGGCAATGCCAGGCGCAGTCGCAGAGGTCAAACCATCACTAATTTTCATCATTATCGCGTGGAAATTTTTTGTGAGGTATTATTTTTGAAATTATTATTTCATTACATTTGTTACTTGTTAGCAGATTTTCTTAGTTATTAATTTTATTATTGTTGTGATGTCAGGTTGTTGATTTAATTATACAAGAGATGAATAATCGTTTCTCGGAAGTTAGCACGGAATTGCTTAGTTGCATAGCATGTCTTGATCCAAAAAGTTCTTTCTCTCAATTCAATGTGCAGAAACTACTCCGTCTTGCTGATTTATATCCTGAAGACTTCTCAAGTAACGATTATTTATATCTTGAGTCTCAACTTCGAAATTATATTTATAATGTGCAACGCGATCCTCAATTTTCAGAAGTTGGAGATTTGGGAAGTCTTGCTCAACAAATGGTTAAAACTGGTAAAAATACAGTTTTTCCATTTGTTTATCGTCTGATCCAGTTGGCATTAGTTCTACCAGTTGCGACTGCTTCTGTTGAAAGAGTATTTTCTGCAATGAATATTGTCAAGACTGATTTGCGCAACAAAATGGGAGACGAGTGGATGAATGACTGTCTGGTTGTATACATCGAGAAGGATATTTTTGCAACAATTGAAAATGAGCAAATATTGCAACGTTTTCAACGGATGAAGACTCGCAGAATGCAATTGCCTCCTCTTCGTTATTCGAGTGCAACAACTACCAATACTTCAAGTGTTAATCAATAACAAATTTTTGGGTATGTATAATTATATGTTTTTATTATTTTTATAATTATTGATTCTAAATTTTACTTATTAAATATATTTATTTCGTCACAAAAAAAAATTTTTAATACACTTCAGCCCCCCCAAAAATAAATTTCTGGCTCCGTCCCTGCTAAGAATATATCAGAGATGGTAACTTTGTGGAGTTCTACATTCCTTTCGTAGATTGTACATAACCAGACACAAGTAATTGATGCTGTGCATTCCCTATGGCCGGTTTTTTATAGGTAGCCTTGTAAAATGTCTGGTTTGTGGCGACAAACCAAGTGTTACCTGGTCTTCTCCCTTGGTGGCGTAGCAATTGATTTTTTTTTTTTTGGTAAGCCGGAACATACCCTGACTCGAACTCCTTAGGACCCAAGCCGGCACACCAAATCAGAGGAGTGCACCATGCCCCCACGTAACGACCTCGGGCGAGTCACGGGGGTTCAAGTTCAGGGTAAGATTTGAATCCAAGACCACAAGAGTCCTTAAGAACCCGCTTACTGCTGAACCACCCCCGTGAGGGTCATAGCAATTGACTTTCATGGATCCCTTTTTAAGAATTCGAAAGAGGTTGCTGCAGGAGTTTTGGTAAGGAATGATGCTGGGGCGTTTTTAAGCTGTTTGTTTTAAAAGCTTGCCTATGTAATCAATCATCAGGCTATGTTATCAGACTCGGACCGGGTATCGACTCGGTCGAGATTAGGGATCAGGGGTTAATGGGTTCAATCGAATTCGATCGGGATTGAACCGGATGATGTCATAAATAAAAATTATTTAAAAATTAAAATATTATATATAAAATACCTAAAAAATATGTTAATATTAATAAAGGTATAATCATATATATTTGATGTTTCAAATATATTTAACAAGAACATACAAAGAATTAGAATGATCAAGTAGCAATTTATATTATTTAATGAACATTAACAAGTTTAGAATTAAAATTATGGGTTTGATTGAAAAATAACATCAAATTTTAGGACAACATTTATAAAGTATAAAATATTTGAGATATATTAATAAGTTTAAACAATTTAGGAGTCAAAACATAATATTGAAAAAATTTAACCTTTTTTTTTAAAAAAAATGCTCTTGTTGAACCGGATTTCCCGGTCAAACTCGGGTTTTGATCGAATTTGACCGGGTTTTTAGTCTTCCGATTTTGAAGAACAACTCGGACTGAACACTTGACCGGTTTTCAGTTCAATAGATTGGACCGGCTGATCCGGTCCGAGTTTAAAAACACAGTCCTCAGGTAGCTAAGAATAAAATTTGCCTTGCCAGTAAGTAGTCGAATTTTCCACTCACCTTTGAGGGTGATGCTGCTTCTGTACCTCTGATAATCCTGGATCCAAATGCAGACTTATTTGCTGATTGATGATGCTTGCCAGCTGCTTAGTCCGATTGCTATTGAATTAGTGTCTGTAGTGATGTCACGAAATAAGGCTGCTCAAACAATTTGGTAAGCATGCTAAGTTGAATTGTAGTACAAGGCTGCTCAAACAATTTGGTAAGCATGCTAAGTTGAATTGTAGTACATCACGGGAGGCTCGGAGCACTTTCACTTTTACGGTTATCTCTTCTCGCTGATGATATTTGTGTTTGGATAGAATATTATTTGAAATAATTATTGTAATACTTTTGTGATCTAATGTATTTGAGATAAAAAAAAATGGTTAAGAATATAAAAAAATAGGTTGAAAAATATGTTTATAATATAAATGAAATATTATTTACAAAAATTTAGCTATTTCTTTCAAATAAATCTACTACTGTCTTTTTTTGTTGCTGGGGGGGGGGGGGGGGGCGGGATTAAGAAAAGAAGAAAAGAGAATGACGTGCCCTTTCCCATGTTGAAAGTTTATAAACAACGATTCAAGAATTCGAAGGATACCATTGTTCCCACTGTTAGATGCAAAGCTAGCACCGATGCCAGCACCAATTTTTTTTTTTTAAACATACGCATATCTCAAGGTTTAGAGTCAAGGTATTACTCTTTCTTATGATAGGCTGCCAATCCACTGAAAATCATAACAATCCCACCAAGGAAAAAATGAAAAATATACAACTCCGAAATTTCCCGATCTTTTATGGTCTTTTTAAATTTCGATCATAAAAAAATACACTGTTATGGTCTTTTATGGTCATTTTTTATGGACACCTGTACGAGGGGAGAAATGACGAAAGCTTAAGCATCCAAACTACGTGATGTAACTCTATATAACTTTTCAAAAGAAGAACTTCATATGCATCTGTCCCAGAACAAAAATGTAAACAAAAAAGCTTCACATGCACATACCCGTGAACAATGGTTTTATTAGTACTAAAGGGATAAGAGGGACAACTGTTCCTCAACAGAGCAGTCGACATGACAAGATATCCGACAAGGAAAAGGGATGAGAATCAGACCAAGGCCTCGCTGTTCCACTGGAGAAGCAGGAGAACGTCTAATGCAACGATATTCAACTGCATCTTGAAGGATGATATTTCCTTGCTTATCCATGCAGTAGAAATTACCCAAGAAGAATCTTCCATCTTTGATCCCTACTAACATTCGACGGGACAGCAGCCTTTTCACTATGCTCACATAATTCAAAGTTGTTGACTCCAACCCTTCTGAGCTTCTTCTCTGATGTACAGATGATGTCTCTTCTTCTTGTTTGGGATCCATTCACCTTGAACAATTTCCTAGAACGGTGAGAATTTGAATAAGTTGCTTCGTAGGACTTAACAAATTCCTTTACAGATAAATATGGCCATCTGAACTGCGACAAGCGAGCACAAAGGATACAAATAACCCAGTGAGCAGGCTATTGCCAATCACAAACATATCTAAACAAAATCTTGATTCTGTTTTGTAACTTCCAAGAGGCACACCAGATAATAGTTAAGAAGGTAAACTGACTTTGGCTTTATTTAGCTCTTCCTCCTTTCATTTAAACTTTTTTTTGGAGCAAGGTGCTAGGGAGGTGGGAAAGAGTTCATCATTTCTTCACCTGTGTCCTAGAATACAGTTTCGAACTCATACAATGAATACCCCTCCTTTACACCTGAAAAAAACAGAAACAACAGCTTAAAATTGGAAAGAAAGAATATCATCAGAAGTTAAAAAAGGAAGTAAGAGTAAATGTTAACTTGTACAACATCCATAAGGACCATAACCCTCGCATATGAGGATTGTAGTACTACTAGATTTCTGCCAACTAAAATATGGATGACAGAATCATGTACAAATTTCTTCAAAAGACTAAATTAAATATATGTTAAGCGTCTTCACAACTTTACCAAGATGCGAGCAACCCAAGCTACTAAATTAGGAGGACAATTGATCCTACCTGTTGGCTCATTACCAAAAACAAACTAACATGGTGCCAGCAAGGTGTCATAAATATTTATAGAACTACATTTCATATTTCAAACATTTTAACCAGCACTTAAATGCAAGTTGCCATGCAAGAAACTCTTTGAGCAATACTGTCTCAACACAGGATTGGTATTATAAACTGTAGCAATAACAAAAATGACAACATTCTCAAATTTTTATCCTCAAAAGAGGCTTAACGGATTTTAAAATGCTCTTCATACTAAAATACAACATGAGACCTTTTATAAATTGAAAAGATACTCTTTGATTATGTCAAATTAAGGCTTTTTTAAGTGAGATCACTCGACATTTGCAGAAAATTGGCATTTTCAACTGAAAACTATAGAAATATTAGAAGATAAAGTAGAGAATCATAACCCCTGGAAGAAAGAATATAACACTTATAAGTTGAGACTAAACCAAGGTAGAAAACCAAGAAAAATGCTGCCAACTAAAAAGTTTGTAACTAAACAAAGTCATCTCAGAACATAGGATAGCTATGAGTAGAAGAATATGATACAATATTTTTCAAGTACCCAACTCAGATTTTAAAACAAGAATGGAAAAAATGAGATATGCAGACAGGGATGAGGAATAACTAGTGAAGAAGGGACATTTTTTGGTTGATAATGGTAACAATGCAAATTTCCAAAGTTGGGAATCAACTACGACTAGAGATCTAAAATTTCTTTTCCTCTTACAATTTTTTTCTCTGCAATGACTCATGAGTCTATATCTTTTTTCTTTATGGTTCTCCCTGCTTGTGTCCTTGCGAAATCTGTTTTAGGACTTCATTTTTTAAATCACCCTGAGGGAAAAAAAAGGTAGGGAAACTCAGAACACCAAGGTCATATCCATCCTATAAGGCCCCAGTTTTGACCCTTTTTAACCTCAGTCCCAACATGGTTTTGAATCGAGGTTTCAGCAACTAATTAAAATGGACAAGCAACCAGTTCTAGGTAAAAGTAGCTTGTCTGGTCCAGGCTTGATTATAATTAAAATTGGCCAGAACAGATTGTTTTGACAGAGGAAACTACTGGTTTCGCAAGACACACAGGAAAAGTAGAAAATAGATGAGATAGTTTTAACTCTGAACTATCTAATTGGGAGTTAGAGAATGACAAACTACTCATCTGATTACAAAGACAACAAACTGGATGATCAAACTTCAAAGACAGCAGCAAGAACATAGCAAATCAACTATATTATACGTTTAAATGCTAGGCTTTACACTCTAACACGTTCACTTACTACTGATACAGTTAAATGTCAACAAAAGCTGCTGACTAGCTTAAACAGGTTTTTAATGTTTTGCTTCACCTACTCTGGCAGACTCTTTTAATGACTTTTTAAGGACAGCAGTAGTCGATCATCAAGTAGCACATGCTAAGCATGTGAGAATTTGGGCCTTTGGCAAACAATGTACATGTTAAAACAAAATGTCACGCACACACGGGCGATTTTGCGGATCAACATATCAGAAACTGCTATAGATTAAACAACAAAAATCTTTTGTTCTTCTCATCCACTTTGTATCATCATACTATCAGCTATTTAATTTCCATTCCTCCAATTTATTCAAGTACTGATCATATCTTTTTTTTTTCTTCTATCGCCATCTTCAAATTTTCTTTACCTTTTCCTACTCTCATCTTCATTTCCCTTCGTTGGATTAGGCTTTCCAAGATTTACTTGTCCTCCTATTAGAACATTGCTTATGCAGATTTCTTAATAGGATATACTAAAAAACTTCCTTTGTAGCCCATTAAAATTTCCATTATTTCTTTTAGATTTTCTTCCTGCTTCTTGGAAAACATTATTCTCACCTACTACTAATTCTCTTACTCTTACAACGTAAACTTATAATTCAAATTCTGGAGAACTTAACCCTATCTCTCTTATTGGATAAATTACCACTAAAGTTCTGTAATTTTTACTTCCAACATTTTTTTGGTGTTATTTTCTGCTATGCTTAATCAAAACTTGCATATTCTTTTGAATTATGCTAGCAGAACATCAGTATTCAGATCAAATCAGCACTTATTCAAGGTTCTGCTTTCACCTGTCATGCCCAAATTTAGTCTTAACCACTGCAAGACGAAAAAGTATATAAAATAGTTTTGAAATTTTTGATGAAACACAAAACAAAGGGATGAAAAGATGATAAAAAGAAAAAATGGTAAGAATGATTTGAGAGGATCAAAGAAATACTCCCTCACATTCTGCATTTGTCTGCTTTATAGTCCCTCACTTTCAAAAGGATGCAATTTAATCCCTCAGAGTGTACGTGATGCAAAAACATTTTAGAACTTAGACTGTTGCGTTAGCATACTGTTAATGCCATGTGTTTTGTAGTTTTAGGATCAGTTTTGTTTAGCTGGTGCATATGTACTAGGCATGTGCCTCATAAGGGTATTTTCGTCTTCTTCAGTTTAAGGCAACAACATGTTCAGAGCCCTTTAAGTACCCATTTTTAGGCACCGACAGAAGTTTTTCATCTCAGTTATAGCCTAAAATTTACACTTAATCTACTACACAATCAAATAGCCTAGAAGCTGACATCCCTGAAAATTTTGTGTTTTCTCTTCATCAATCCTAGAATTTTTGTGCTGCTATCAAGCATTACTCTTAGCTTTCAGCATGAATTTAGAATGAACAATTTTTATCTCAAAACCATCTCAGGCCACCTTTTGGCCCGACAAAACTTACATAACAGCTATGTATCCTAATTTTAGGGCCAAACAGGACCCATTTCTCCCAAATATCATCACATGTTGGTCGAATGTCTACTGCCACTCAAAAAGTAGTAGTAGACTTAAATTGGAAATCATAATTAAGCAAAATCAGTCTCCCTAAGTTGACCGGTGAACCTATATTAATCAAATACCCAGCCACCAGAAGAAATGTGTCCTCGCTAGCATCAACCACATCATTCACCACCAAAGTTTTCTAGCCAAAACAGCTCCAGTCATGTACTCAATCTTCTCTGGCCAAAACAGCTCCAGTCATATACTCAATCTTATCGGCCAGCCTTGTCCACTACCAACAGACATCCTTGTATTGATACTCAACCCAAAATTCATCCAAACAACAAATTAGTTTGAACAATATGAATAGCTCCAGACTTCACATCTGAATTTGACCAATTAAAGACACCAAAAAGGGTTATTGAAAATATACTTTGGCTCCCCATAAATTCATTTCCTTCTGATCTTGAACAGACCCCTCTTAGTTTGAGCTATTAAAGCTCCAGAGTTAAGAGCCATTAGATCAGACTAGATAAAGGACGCTTCTAGGTTGGAAAAATTTTGTTCAAACAAATTGCGTAATTTCCATTTCTCAAGGAAAACTTTTCTTCTCAACATAATGAGCCTGATGAGCAGGTTTTTCACTGCAGGTTCTACATTTTTAGTGGGACTAGACATGTGATTGGCATACACTAGCATCTGGGTAAGGCAGGCATGTGATGCCTCTTTTGCACATGAGATTGCCACCAAGGCATGTGACTTTTTCATGCCATAAAGCCGCATAGACTGGCATTGGAACCAAAATGGTACTTTCTATATTCTATACATGGAAGGACCAAATTGCATCAATTTCAAAGTGGGGGGCTTCAAAAGGACAAACACAACATGTGAAGGAATATTTTTTTTCAAAAATTAGGAGTTGCCACTCTTTACTGGGTTCTAAGTGTACCAAGTTACTAGTAGAAAGAAAAAAACAGGAATTAAATAATAAATTGATTTAAACACGGACCAACATGCATTCAGTTAATTTAAAGGAGAATTTGAACACTTCGGTAAGCATGAAAAATTTAAGAGAAATAGACGCACAAAAACATAAAGAGAGAGGTTTTGATCTTGAGCCTCTGTTGGAAAATGCTGCAAGAATAAAGCATGCATTCTATCACAAACATTCACATTCACAATAATAAATATGAATGAATAAATAAAACAAATAGGCACAAATGAGTTCCAAAAATCAGAGAAAACTCATTAAAGCTAATGAATATCTCCTTTGGAAAAAAAAAGCATAAAATTTGACCTTTGTAAACTTAATAAAAACTTTTAAAACAAACAGCTGAGTAATCTGAACATATGGTCAGCTTCCGGTCCATATCCCGGAGATGGTAGACCCGGTGGAAACTCGTTCAGACTCGGAAGATTCGGGCAGAGTCGACTCTGGGACTCAAAAGAGCGGCCGAGTCAACCCGCATGGACTCATCAGATATCCATGAACGGAGGCTTTCACCATGATTTTCATGGACTTTTAGGGTATAAACAAATTATTATTAAAAAAAACTTACCCGTGTCCAATTTATGAGAAATTGCACAGAAAGACAGCCATAAGAAGTCAATCTCTAACCCAAGATTCTCTCTTTGAAGACTCTTCACTA